CTGCCGAAAGTGCTGCACATGGTTGGAAATTAATTTCATGGCAACACGGCAAGGACACACACAACTAACAAACAAACCAACGAGCAACACATGTTTTTAGAACGTGTTAATTAGGTGAATTTCTGAGATGAATTCGCAGCACACCTGCCAAATTAAGAGTGTACTCGAAGGGGCGGTGAGCAGGGCCCAAAAAATGGCAGCGTGAGTAGAACCTTGAACTAGTGGCAAATTGCTAACAAGGTCGGCGAAATGGAGGCGGAAGTTTGCCACAGGTTGTGACTTAAATTAGTAAAGACCTTCCATTCCACGGTGATATAGACGGAAGTACACTGGAGTAGTAAAATGATATTCTAAATATTGAATTAAACATTTTTTAATAAGTATTTGAAATAAATAAAAAATCATAATGTTCAATTTAAAACGTAATACACTGCCTCATTTTATTTGAACATTTTTAAATCAACTTAGAAAATGTTAGCTATGATGATAGCCATGTTTACTTTATATACTCGACGTCATTAAAAACAATAACATCAAACTATATTCCAATTTTTAAATTTTTAAATCAACTTTAATTCTTAAGTTAAAGATATAAATTTTCCTTTCCCTTTTTTTTTGGTTTTTTTCCATTCATTTTAAAATAAATCAAAAAACTTTCGCTTATTATTTGTAAATATGAAAATATTTAATTAAGCAATGATAGTTAATTTTAAGATTTCAAACTTTTTCATTCACTTGAATATGTCTAACATTTTATCTTATTTCATCTACCTTTATTAAACAGAATCCAATAAAATCATGCAATTTAAAATGCTTTGTATTGAATATTATGTTTTTAAATTTAAATTCAATATGAAATTCAAAATATAGAATTTAATAGTTGATATGTATTTATACTATTCCATTTTTGTATTAGAATAAATATCATTAATTTGATAAATATTTTAAATATTTATATGAAAATTGCTGGGAGGCATGGAAAAGTATTTATGTTAATTATAAGGGCATGGTTATTACCCAAGCAACCCAACAAAAATTAACCAAATCGAAGGCCATAACTATAAAGTGTGCTAAAACTGCAACTATTCAGAACTAATTGAATAGAAGCAGGGTCCAAAGTAAAATCGAAGCGAATTTTATGCCCTAATCAAGCTTAATAACTCGAGGAAATTGCAGAGCTTCGCACAACTGCAAAGACTTTTATATTGATTTATAAATTTTGCAGATTCCGCTGCCATCAGCAGCAAACAAACTTCCTTTGGGCAAACTTTCAGGGGCTTTCACATAATTCCGGGTGGGCCTACAACTATCTGTTTCTCAATAGTCCGCCATTACCAAGAAACCCCCTTCCCCCAAGGTCGTTCTAATTGCATTTAATTAGCTGCCACGATGGCCTCATTTTCCTCACATTTTCCCGCTGCCTAACGTTGAAAAGTTGACCGACATAAATTTCATTAATTAGTTGAAAATTTCGTCCGCCACTTTGTGAGCAACAATTTCTGTAGATTTGGTCATTTGCCGGCCGGACCTTTTCGGTCATTAAACAAATGTATTTATGACCTGGAAGGCCAGCGGTTCAAAATGAGCACTTGTGTGTGTGAGAAAACTTGGCTCCTCAAGATCAACCTCTAAGTGGCGGCAGAATATGGAAACTTTTCCCCCTAGCGAAACTTGGCCAACTTTAAGCGGCCTGCTTAAACAAACAAACTGGTCTAATGTTCCACTTTCCGTTTCTTGCCGACTTTCGCCACTTTCTTTTCGTCGGGATTTCCCGGACATAAAGCTCAGGGATTGAGAATTGGGGATTGAGGATTGAAAGGAAACTCGTTTGGCCATTGACAAATTCGGGACTGGGGGATAAATCAATTGAAAAATATTAATGAATTATTTATGAGATAAGATGGAGGGCAAATAAAACAGGAATAGGAAATAAAACAAGTCGGGCCAACGGCCATGCCAACGGGAAATCCCCCAGAGTGCAAACCGCAAGAGGAAATAGCCGCAAAAAAAAAAAGAGAAAGATTGTAAAAGTGAGGGAAAAGTCAAGGAAAAACAAAGGAAAACGCCAGACCAAAACCAAAACCAATGCAGAAAAAGAACAAACTGTAGAAAAATTACGCTGGAGACTAATAAAACAAGATTATTGCGGTAGAACCGCAGACAATTGGCGGGGCAAAAAAAAAGGAGGAAAGTTGGGAGTAGGGGGGATTTGAGCCAAAACTAGACAATGAGCCAGGCCATAAATCAGCAGCCGCAGAACGCAGACAACTGCAGTCGGAAAATGGTGATGGCTGGGTGGCAAAGGGGTTAAGGGGTTAAGAGGAAAACTCGGCATCTCCGCCTGGCAAACTCACACGCATTAAAGCAGTTTTCCCAGCATGATGAGGCAGAAGATAATTATGCCAATATGGGTGAAACAAACCGAGCGGATGAGTGGCAGACGGCAGGCGGCAGGCTTTTCCTGGAAAGCCCGGAAAACGTTCGTGTAAATATTAAATATTGACCCGTACGGAATGGAGCACCAGGCACCAGGCACCAGGGATACTAAGGCTGACTAGAAATGTGTCTCTGGAATTCAATTTCGTTTGACACGTCCTCAAGCAAATGCAATGAATATCCCCAGCAGCTGAAGGCAATCAGTTTCCATCACTCAGAAAGAGATAAACACAAGATGGGGAAAACTGTCAAATATTTCTCCACTTGAAATTGTGTGAAGTTCCAAATGGGTCCTTGTGAGCGTGGGAAAATGGTAAGGTAGCTAGTATAGATCACAAAATTAATTATGAAATATTTACCATCACAGGCACATACTTATTACAGTAGGTAACCATTTACCTAATTATCTAACGTTGTACTTAAATTCTACAAATGCAATGAGGCTTGGAAACTTTTGAACTGCAATTGATTAATTATCCCATATTGGTTAGGTACAAGCTGAAGGATACCTAATATTGTTGACAAAATGTATTATGAAATATTTGCAATTACAGTAGGTAACCATTTACCTAATTATCTAGTGTAGTACTTAAATTCTACAAGTGCAATGGGGCTTGGTAACTTTTGAGCTGAAATTGATTAATTATCCCACAGTGGTTAGGTACAAACTGAAGGGTACCTAATATTGTTGACAAAATTAATTATGAAATATTTGCAATTACAGTAGCTAACCATTTAGCTTATTATCTAGTGTTGTACTTAAATTCTACAAATGTAATGAGGCTTGGAAACTTTTGAACTGCAATTGATTAATTATCCCATATTGGTTAGGTACAATCTGAAGCATACCTAATATTGATGAGAAAATGAATTACTAAATATTTGTAATCACAGGCATATACTTTCTGCAGTAGGTATCAATTTACCTAATTATCTATCTATTTATGAAGCTTGGTGTCTTTTGAACTGCAATTGACTAATTATTAAATATTGGTTGGGTACAAATGTAGTATTACAACTCATTTTAGATCAAAAGTTAATAGGAAAATTCCTATCCCTGTTTTGTATTTTTTCATATTTTGCAGATTTAATTAAATTAAAGTTTTTATTTATAAACCTAAATAGTTTAAACTTAGTTATATTTAAGAAGAAAAAATTTAAATTTTAATCACAAGTATAAATTGAAACAAAAAGTTGCTTTCATCTCCACATGCTTACATTTAACTCTAATCACAATTGCCTTGGTTACCACTCCACCATATATTTGTTTCTGCACAACAAAAAAATGTGAAATATTTATTAAATACTTAGCGCAATACAGCATAAAAATGTATAATAAAAGTATTTACATTAAATGCTGACCGCATTACAATAAATAACTTTCATTCCACCGCCTGCAGCTAGGAAATTTCAAATTAACCGCAAAAATCCTGGAGAACTTTAAACATATGGTAACGAAACAAAACAAATAACTTTTATATCACCAACAGCAACTAGAAAAAATTTCAAATTAACCGCAAAAGCCTGGAAAACTTTAAGCATGTAGAAACGAAACAAAAAAAAATGCAACACTCGTCAGAGGAATTTTATGCTGGAAAATTAATTATTAACAAATTGCTCAGCATGAACACGAAACAAATGAATGGATCGTGTTATTGCTGTTATGGCTGTTGCAGATGTTTCAGATGTTGCTGCCACTCCCGTTGTGAGCAATTTTCTGCATTATGCATTAAATGCAATTTGAACTATTAAAAGCATACTTTTAGCACACTTTTGTGGGGGCTGAATGGACGGCGGCCATTTTAGCTATTTTCCACGCACGTAAACATAATTTGCATTGCTCTGAAATATTATGGCAGCAGCTAAAAGTATGCAATACAGCATTCCCCCGCTTTTCCGACGCTTTTCCTTTTTAGCCATAAAAGCAGAGGCAAAAAGTTCAAGTAATAGAGCAAACAGATAGGAAAGTACAGGACACGAACGGAGATGTCCTTTTTATTAAATCTAGCTATCTGGAAAACTCTTTTTTTTGGATATGGCTAAGTAATATTTTTTTTTACCATTTATAGTAAACACATTTTATAACTAGGATGGAACTAAGGTCCAACAGAACCTTTGTTCAATCCCAATTTTTTTTACTGAATAGGGAACTTGGTGAAAATACTTTTTTTGTGGCATTCCCTTAGGAAAGATGTTAAAAATGAATGTTCTTAAATTTTCTATTTGTTAAATGTTTGCCTAATGTATGGGGTACCTTAAAGCTATTCGAATAGGAATTTATTTAAACTTTCAAAGTATAGAAAAAAAGGTTTTGTAAATAAGTAAACGTAAAAAAAAATCCCGATGGTTCTTATATTATTTAATAGGTGTCTAAAAGTATGCAGTAAAAAATTCTAATATTTTACAATTTATTGTTGCATACTTTTAAGCACACTTATAAATGATTTGTAAACCCCATTTTTCAGCAGCTTTAGCTGTGTTCCATTCGAATTTTGCCTACAAAAATGTAGCCAGGTCAAAGGCCAAAAAAGTGCCAGATCCGCTGAAAGGGCAAGAGCACTTACCGTTATAGAATGGCCAGAGTAGCGATTGTTGTTGCTGCTGTACCGATGGTTGTTTTTGCTGTATTATGCTAACAACTAACGCCATTATTATAATAACTGCTCGCGTCGTCGCCGCTGCCCTTGTTGTTGCTGCTGTTGCTGCTGCTGATGTTGCTGCTGGTACGCTACTGCTGCTTGTTGCTGCTGCTGTTGCTGTTGCTGCTGTTGCTGCCGTTGATGTTGCTGCTGGGACGTCGACATCAGCAGCATGGCCTGGGCTACGCGATTCGATGACGTCGACGTCGTCGGCGCCGCTGCGACGCAAAAATCCGCATAAATTTATATTGCAAATTTGTTTCCCCTCCTGTTGCCGATGTTGCTGCTGGTCCTGCTCCTTCTGTTGCTGCTGTTGCTGCTGCTGCTGCTCCTGCTGCTGCTTGTGTTGTTTAACAATAACTATTGCCGCAGGCATCCAGCGAGATTTAATAGTTTTTGCCTGTCGTTGAGTTTTATTTGCCAGTTTTCAGCTGATTTTTCTTGTTGCTGCATTTAAGTGCTGATGTTGCTGCCGTTGCTGGTGTTGCTGCTGCTAATGTTGCTGCTGCTGCTGCTGCTGGTGTTGCTGCTTCTGCTGCCGCCGTCGTTGTCGGCTTTAGCAGCATAATGCGCCATTCGCTGTTGTTGCTATTATATTTTGTTTTATGCTTACTTAAACTTTTACTTTTTCGCTAGCCGTCAATGAAACATTTAATCGTAAACGCACAGCAGCAATATTCAGCTGGCTTGTTGTTGCCGTTGGTGTTTGTATGACTCGGCTGTTGTTCTACGTTTTATCTCAGTTCACTTTAAGTTTACCTTTATTTTGCTTCAGTGCACAGGAAAAATAAGCAATGAAGCAATCACTTTCTGTTGTATCAACCCCGCAGCAACATGTTCGATTTGGAGGGGGAAAGGAAAAAAAAATGGGTGGGAAGACCAATGAAGATGTTCGGATCTAAAGAGTTCTCTGTGTGGCTTAAAGCTTCTTGAGTCTAAAATGCTTGGCCATTTAATGTTTATACTATTTTTTGCTGCCCCTTGCAGCAATCAAGATATCTCTTTCTTGTGTGGATTTATGGAAGACCCGATGGCAACATGTTTCTGATTGTTAGGTAAAAGTAAGAAAAAATGTGGGAAATACTATTTTGATTTGCCTTTTTAGGTACACTGTTAAAAAAGCATGGTAAGTCCAATGATTTCATGTTCACTTTAACTATTTCTTCTAACGTACTATAAATATGAAAATATTAAATTTACCTATTGTAGCTAAATTAAAGCTTTTTAAAATTGAATTTAAAATGAAATTATTGTTTTTTCTGAGGTAAAATATTTAGAGTAATTATGGCTAGCTCCAAAAGAAATATTTTTTTCCTTGCTTTAAATATTTTCAAACTAAATCATGTCATTCATTATGTTTTTTTTAACTGTTATGATTTTGTATTTAGTTAAAATATTTAATACGAAATGTTGAATTCAATATGGAGATATTTAATTTTACTTTTCCATTTCTTTATCAGTGTGGCTAGAATCTAAATTCTATCCATATTCGCATATTTTTGATCCACGCCGCACTTAAATACTTGTATATATTTGTATATTCTTCTGAACAAAATTATTTCACAGTAAGCAAAAAGCTTAAAATGCCTGGCATGCTTGGATGGTCAGAACAGCAGTATCAAATAAAAGTTAATAAAACTTGCTGAATGTGGTTATATATTTTAATGTGTGGTTTAGCAAAGACCCCGCAGCAATTTTGTATATTTGAGTTAAAAGTGTTTTAGAGCTGAATAACAAAGAACATTATGGCTCTATTTGTATAACTAATCCAGACACCTCAGCAACTATGTTTGCACTTTGCAATTTTCAATCATTTTGGTTGATAGTATTTGCGGAGTACACTTAAATAGCTAGCCTTATTGACCCAATATTTTCGTGGGTCCCCTTTTTTTTAAGCTGCCGCCTGTTGCTCAGCACGTCAACACTTTTGCTTTCGATGATGGCAAAGTTGCTGTTTGGTCATTTTAGCTGCCACTTTCCCTGCACTCCAGTTGACTCCACTTTGCCCCCAGGAGCACCTCTTCCACGTCCTTCGACAGTTTGTTTCCCCATTTCTCTGTGGCAGGGTCCTTTTTCCCAGTTTCCTTTTGCACACCAGTTAACGTGGCCATTTCTATCTCTTGAACAACTGAACCCCCCCCAGGATCCCTTGGCCATTTGCTGTTAGTCTAATTTAATTGCATTCGTGGCTCGTTTTGTTACGTATACGCAGGGTGAGCCGTCGGCAGGGTGAGGTTGAATTCCATTGAGGTTGCAGCTTTGCAGTTTGTGTTGTGCAGCAACGCCCTGACCTGTCCATGTCCTTTCTGCTCTGCATTCCTTTGTCAATGCCCTTAATCCTTATCAGTTGCCAACAAAACGAAATAAAACAAGGCAACAACAAAAAAAGATTGGCAAAACAAACAAAGCAAAAAAACCGCATAACAAACACAGAGGTCTTGCCTTATTTTCCCATTGACCCTGTTTGCTCCCGTATCCTCTCACTTTCACTTTTATTCGGCTGCAAGGTAAATGATTTATTATCGAATGGTCGCCGAACGGCGATTGCGGTCTGTGCGGCCATTCTTTAAACAAACCATCGTAATTAATGATACAGAAAATGAAATTCAACACACACAAAACTTCGCCACAGATTTATTGCCTTGCACTTGAACCGAACAATAAATAAATAGTTCTAGGATTTGGAGGCGGGGCAGGAAATGAATGACTCTGGGTTCTCCGCTGATTAGCCAAGTGTGTGTTGTGTTGGCAAGTGTAATTATAATGGCTAGCGCTTAGACTGAAATTGCTGGGATTAATGGGAAACTAAGCTGGGGGTAAGAAAATTGGAGTATCTGGGATTTGTAAAAGAGGATGACAAAAATAATGGTAAAAGGAAGATGTAAAAAACTAAGAAACTCACAGCTATCAAATATAACCATAGTTAATTAATTTACATTTAAATTAAAGAATATCAATCTTCCCAAGTTTTATGACCAATTACAAATTAGAGTTTCATTTGAAAATTCTCTGTACTTGATTTTACCTTTTACTTAAGTACTACCAATCTTATGATTGCCATAAAAAATACTTCAAGTTTTCTTCAGCACACTTTTTTCTTGAAAAAGTTTCTACCAAAGAAAAGCAGTCTAAAATAAAAAAAAGCACCCGAAAACTCCAATAATTTTTATAAAGTATAAATCCAGGAAGGGGCAAAATAAAACAATTAAAAAGTTACCCAACGAAAAGATTAAACTTTGATCTATATGATATACTCTAAAAATAATATTTAAGAACTCATTAAGTTTGCTCCCGATAAAGTAAATTTGTTCTATGAAGTTTAAGGGTAGATATTAAATATTTATTTAAAAAGAATTTGTAACCTCAATGAAAAAGCTGCAAAAAGGAAGCACAACTTTTAAATGACAAAGGGGAAGCATCAGCCGGAAATAATTTCCCCCCCCCCCCCCCCCCTTCTTAAACCAAATCACCCATTTTTTTTTGGGTCCCTGATATAAACCACCGCACGTAAAATGAACTTTAATCAAGCGACTCCACCTGCCGGGCGATTCCCCAAAGGAAACCCCGGCAAACCAATCAATAAAATGCCCTTTAATAATGTCGAAAAGAAGACCCGTCCGGGCAGTCATAAAAAAGCGTTCCAAAAACGATATGAAATATGCTTCATAAAGATTAAAACCTGTTCTTTCTCCTTGGCCCTGCGGTAACAGATGCAGCCGGAATGTTCCAGGACACATATGTATGTGAGGAGAAGGACGAGTAGAGAGTAGACGTGAGTCCTGGCAACATTTTATTATCCTGGCATGCCAGGATAGACCACAAAGTGAGGCCAACAGCTTGGGGAAGCCTTTCGCAGGCCACCTATGAGCTTTGCTCTTGCCATCATCTAAGTCCCCTCTGTACACAAAGGAAAATAATCCAAAAAGATTCGACAGTCTGAAAAAAATATCTTCTATTGCCTTAACACCAAAATAGTTTGTATAACATAATAAATAAATTATGATTTATATGCCACATTATAATCATATATCAAATCAAACAAATTTGATAAAAAAAAAGTATATTATACCTCATACATTTGGTTCTTTCAAGCCATTACCCTAATGGCATTTAATTAATGATTTAATTTAACATGTTAAATATACAATTTACCTCACTTAACCACAAAACAAAACACCATTAAAAAAAAGCTGTATGCAATTAAATAAAAATGAAAGCATCCTGGAGGGCACTTAATTACTTGTTGAACTTTTATATGGTTTTTTTTGCAAACAAGGCTGACAATAAGTAAAATAATGCATTGTGTATTATATAGAATTATCCCTAACTATTCCTCTTTCCTTGGTGTATATATGGTGTATTATATAGTATGTGAAATTATCCTATCCTAACTTTTCCATTTTCCTTGGTGTATATCTGAAGCTAAGCGGCTTGGTCGCAGATCCCAAATGTTGCAAGATGTGGGGATACAAGGAGCTTGGGGCAGGATGTCTGTCAATAAGCCATATTCTACAAGATTTCATCTGCTGGCCTTTGTGTATGTATTAGTGCGTATCTGTGTGTGTGGGCTTTTCACAGGCGCGTGTTTATGAATTATTAGCATAAACAATCACACAGAATCGCACAAGTACTTGGCGCACTAAGCCCCCTATATGAATTCTGATTAAATGTAATGCGGTCGAAGCGCATTCAAAGTTGCCATTGAATTATTGATGCTCTCCTTTGGGCCAGCCACGGTCATTAGCCAGCTAGCCAAAAAGTGGCCAACTGGATGCTCGGGAAACCCCATCTGAAACCGAAACTGAAACTCAAAATGCCACCCAAAACAGCCGACAATGGTGTTCATTATTCAGGATATGTCCTTGGGCGGGCGTTAAGCTTTCAATGTGATTAGGTGACCCAGGACCTCGGCTTGTACACATATATATACCTATGTATGTATATATGGATTCACACTCCATTAGAGTTGAAAATGTTGCCCGAATTCTGGCTAAAATTCTTCGGCTTAAATTCATGCGGTTTGCATAGCCAGAACTTAAGGATGGAACTTTTTTTCGTAGCCACCCAAGGCCGCGGGGGAAAAAAGACGATTTCCCTTTTTGCATTATTTATTCGACCCTTGACAGCCTTTTCATATATATTTTATACATTTTTATGCCTTTCCTCACATTGAAGAATTTTAATTTTCGGCGCGCCGAAGGATGAAGACGGCAAAGTTTGTTGGGGCAAGTGGAAGGAGGATTAAACCCATCGAAGGAGAACCCAAGTGTCCTTGCTGAGTTTGATTGATTGCTTGACAGCCAGAACAAAAGTCCTTGGCAAAGTCAGGTGAATAGTCAGGTGTCAATCGTAAGTCGGGCCAAAAAACAAGGACAAAGCCAACCAAAAACCAGTCGGAACACCTTTTTCCGACTTTGCCAAGATGTATGGCATTGTAAATGAGATTTCTTGTTTTGTTTTCCACGCCGTTTTTAATTGGCTTATGAGTCAACCAGAGAGCCCTTAAATGACATTATTGCCAGGCAAATCGTTGACTGTGTAATTGCAGAAGTGTGTTTAAAATGTGTCTAATTAAAAAGGAAAATTCGAGGTTGACTCGTGTTTCGTGGAAATGCCTATTTTTAGAACTCGAAGGGGTTTCCCATTTCACTGCAAATGTGTGGCCCTTAAAGGGGCGAATTTAATTAGGATTTATGCAACTACAGTTGCTGCCAGCGAGCCAGCAACTTTTTGAAAGCCGGCTAATCCAGTGGCAGCAAAAGCGCGAACAACTCTTTGGACCCTCAAAACCAGAAACACACAGCTCGCCCAAACCCAACCAAACCAAACCAAACAAAAACCAGTGCGGAACAAACTCGAGCACTTTCCTGCACTTGTACATGGCCCAAAGAGCTGGCATTAAAGCCATCATCAGGGGGCTGGATTGCATGTTTGGGCCACATTTCGGTCTAGGCCTAAAACACACATTTACACGGCAAAAAAAAAAACAGAAATGGTATATCTAATTAGGCATCACAATGATTTGTTTGATTTTTACTGCGATTGAAAAAACAGCATTGTAATTTCCCTTGCTAATTTAATCAGTTCATG